CTCTCTCTCTCTCTCTCTCTCTCTCTCTCTCTCAAAGAAACACACACACATGCCTAAGGCTCGCCCCTCAAAAACCCATGTTAGGTGTATGTTTTTAACCCCATTTTCGGCATATACATTCTCTTGACCATGGCCAATATGTTCATGATAAAAATTGAAAGACAAAAGGCCCTTAAAAATAGTTTATCAAGGAAAGAGAAAATAAAGTTAACACCAGCTGTCAATCTTGATGAGCTTTCAGATTGGGATTAGATGACCTTAAAATCTTCTTCTTTTTTTTTTGTTTCTCTGATGTAGATCATCCCCAAAGCTTGAGTCAAACAAATCGTGTTGAGGTGGTCGTCTTTTTTAGGGTGACGAAGGGTGGTCATATGAATTTGGAGAATATGCAACATACACATACACACATATATAAGGATGCAGTTTCTATAGGGCCCATGTTTTATGAAAACAAAGTAAAGCCTCCCCTCAAATCCTCGTCTGGTAAGCACTTTGGGCATCAAAATCTCCATGATGGCTCCAAAATCAATTTCCAATACCGACTATGAAATTTAAAGCTTAAAAAATGGTAAATTCTTGTGGATCTGTGAACACTTATTTTAAGGGCAAAATGGATGGTCTAGGTAATGTGTTAGACTTTACATCACTTTTAGGGTTTGAAATCCTTTTTTTTTTTGCAAACATAATGGTCAAGACCAAGATGACCGATTTGAAGATTTCCGACACCAGAACTACAATTTTCAATGAGTTCTGAAGTGAGGCTTTATTTATTTATTTTCCATACACACACGCACGCACACAACCATGCACTCACACTTGCATGCGCACACATTCAAGCGCATGCACATGCACATGCGCAGGCGTGCATGCACATGTACACACTTATGCGTGTATGTACACACTTATGTGTGTGTGTACACACTTATGCGTGTGTGCACACACACACACACACACACACACACATATAGAGAGAGATAGAGAGATAAACACAGGAATACCTGACCCGAACTATCAAGGAACCCCTTATAGACTCTTCCAAAACCTCCTTCACCAAGTAGAAAATCAGGCCGGAAGTTCTGAGTTGCTGCTGCTAACTCACGGAAACCGAAAATCTGTGCAGAAATGTTTCCATTGCCAACTCTCAAAAGTTCCTCAGATATGGACTTTTGTTTGAAGCTCTCTGCACAAGTTCAATTTATAAAGGTTACATCAAGGAACTTGAAGTTCATGACAAGGGATAAGAGAAGCAGCATAGAAGACCTTGAGCATTCAAAGTGCAGCTATACAAGTGATAAATAAGGTTCACACTAATTTCTATTTTTAGCGTGTTCATTCTGAATTACAGTCTAATCCAAAAACACATAGCTCCTCAATTGATAGGGATGTAGGTGGGAACCTTAGGTTATTTGTTCTCATCTATTATATTAAGATATTTATATGCCGGGTGTTTTGAAACCCACTTTCCAACTCCAACTCTGCCAAGTTACTAGGACTCTGCAGGGTGACATGCCCGAGTGACAAATCTCAGGTACAAGCCGAGTATCACCAATCCTAAGGTTACTATTTTAATTTGTTAAAGACTCGGCGAGTTCAAGTCAGACTCGTCCAAGTCTAACCCACTGACTCAAACTTGGGGGTGGCCCAGTCCCATGCCCAAATCTGAGTTTAAAAACTCAGTCCCACTCATATTGTCCACGATAAGTGGACCGTTTAGGTCAAATTGGTGCTAGATTAAATACAATGGTGTGAATATCCTGTATTACTACTTTCCAATCTAGCACATGTGGAATTCCACAGCAAAGCATTTAAACAAGCACTAGTCTGACCTGAGCAGTCCGCATATTGGTGGACCATACAAGTGGGACTGAGCCATTGCAGGCGGCTTAAACACCTAGGGACTGTATGGCACAGATGACTTATGTAGTTCCATGCAGTGATTCAAAAGCGGACCGCCTAACGCCTAGGCGGTCCAGAAGGCCTGGGCGCAGGCCTAGGTGGCAATCTCTGGGCGGCCGCCTAGGCGGTACGGAACCCGCCTTGGAGGGCGCCCCACCCAGAGGCAGAAATTTTTTTTTCGCCCCACCCAAATCTATGATCTTTTGATTCCCACATGATGCATTTTGTGAAGGCTCGTGGAGTAGACTAAACGTAGCAACGAGCAAAGCCAGTTGTAGCTTGCTCATCACTTGCTCTGCTATGAAGATGCACACAAGCAAGCCAGTGGTAGCCAAGTCTTGTCAAACCCCTCGTTTTAGAAGCGAAGAAAACTACACCAAGCAACCAAGCAACGGGAGAGCGCGTTAGCGCGAAAGACGTTGCTCTAATGCCTCGTGTAGTATACTTCACTCGCTTGGTAGCGCATCCGTTTTCTTGCTACGCACTAGCGCGAAAGCCGTTGCGCGGCGTTTTCTTGTTGGGTAAAAAAGCAAACCAACGAATGCAAGCAAGAAAACGGATGCGCTAGCGGCGCGTTAGCGCCCTTGCTTCTTGCAAGGAAACGGATGCGCGTTAGCGGCCCAGGGCCTGCGCCCGCCTAGGCAGGCACCCCACCCAAAGGCAGAAATTTTTTTTTTTCAAAGTTGACAAAAATTGATCAAAACATCACCCATTGATATTAGATTTAATTTTTGATGTTTTATAAATCTATTGGGGCGTTTTTTTGAAGATTTGAGTCCTTAGACGCATTTTTTACTGGGCATCCTTTTTGGATTTGACTGGGCCACCCAGGTTCTGGGCGCCCGCCTAGGCGCTGGGCGGCCTGGACCCCCGAGGCCACCTAGCACTTTTGAAACATTGGTTCCATGTTCTCCTACATTGAGTTATCATCTTGTAGCATCAAGTATAACAGTCAATCCTATTAGTATCATTCCTCTCAGTGATAATATTTACTCCTTATGTACATAAGGTTGTTTGGTGAGTTTGATTTTATGCCTAGCCAAAAAAAGACTTTGATGTCATCATACAAAGTATTTACACAACATTTTGCACCATGCACAACCATTGGCCCTACTACTGTTTTGCTGATCTGTGCATGCCATTTAAGTATAAATATCCACCTTCTATGATGCAACAATACACCATCTCCCAGTATTGATTATTGAATCACATCCTCAGTAACATTTTTTACAATGCATACCCATCAGCTCTATCTGTTTTGCTAATCCCATGCATGCCATTCATGTAGTAATTTCTGACTAAAAAACGATATAAGCCCTACAATGCCAAACAGCTACAGGCATATAGACAGCTAGTTTGATTGGACAGGATCATAATAGTAGCCAGTATCCATCACTGGGTAAATCCCAAATACGTGCACCATGTGCTGAGAATACACAGAAAAGATGAGCAATCTTCTTATCTATTGCAGATTGATGACTGGTGACGGCACTAAGTCCTTTGTGTTCAGTCCTTTCACACTACATTTCTAGTTAGCTAGTCCTAGATATCAAACCCTTATAGAGGCTGTAGCCTCTAGAAGACGAGCCCCATCACCAACTTTAGGGAATTGGAGGGCGAGCAACAATCACAACGTTTCATGAGGAAAAGACAAACTAAGACAAACTCAAAACCAAATACCTATTTCTTGCCAGAGCCCAAAGCATCAGGATTTAAGGGGCTCTAGAACTATTGCCCTTCATTCGAATCAGTAGATGGTTCCTTGCAGTTCACGCATTCAACAGAGAATACTGACTGATGCAGTAAATGCCACCACCACATTGCTAAGGCTCAAATTTGATGGATGTTCATGAGGTAAACCGGGACACACAAGTGTTGGAGGTATATTGGAAGTTTTCAACAACACAACCTTGAGAATGTTTTCGATTACAAGTGGGGTTGCCCTAAAATGCCAAAGTGAGCTCATCCAGGTAGCTCTAGCAAATGGCCAGCGGCATCTCCCAGTGAGCATCATGTTACTAACTCGAATATAGATAAAATAACTAATACCTTTCAAAAACAAATTAAAATCAAATAAGTTTCATAGAACTATCAAGGTTTAGCCACTGCAGCTAGTTAAGGCCCTCAATAAGTATGACAAATATATAAGGAGCACTGGCCCCACCCCCAGTTTTTATTTATCTTTTTTTCTTTAATCCACACTAGATTAGGGGGTAGAACATTCATGTCGCAATAAAATCATGACAGTTGTGCCTGTATTTTCCTATCAAGAAACCAGTGCATAAAATGATTCCTCATTTGACAATACCATACAAAGATCTAACAACTTTCCAATCACGTAAATTATACACAAGATGTAAGATTTGGTGATTTTCCGATCATTACAATCAAATATATGATGTACACATAAAATGCTCATGCATAATAATTCACAGTATTGTCACTTGTTGCTTCAGCTATGAAATTGGTTTAGTGCCCACTAAAGATCTGAAACAGCTAGCCAACAATGTTCATTTATGTTACAATCAGAGAAAAAAGAAACACCGTAATTTCAGTGATGGGGATAAACCATGAGCAACGAGCTTCAACTCTCCAACTGCTGAGAAAATATCAGACTTAAGTTCTGTCGAGTAAAATGCAAATATGGAGACCGAGTGATATTGAATGGTGTCTATATTGTCAGTAGTACCACGTCTTTCCCATCGCCTAGCGAGAGATAGATCAATAACAAAATTCCCAGGAAAATCCAGAAGGTAAGTAGTTAACCACAGGAAAAAGTTATCCTATACATCATTCTCAATATCAATGGTCCAGTCATTAAGTACACCACCAACTAAGGGGCAAGTAAACTAAAGCAAATTCATGACCACCTACGTAAAATCGCCAATAAAGTCACCTAGAAATCCATTGAGAGAGAGAGAAAGAGACTAGAGCCATTGTCCCAATAATGGTTAGCGGCATGGGTTCAGAAATGCCCATAAGAATAAACTGACTTCAGAGAAGATAAACTTCATGAAAGAAAAAATAACTTTGAAATATTCATCTGTTCCCCGTTTTTCAATTTTCCAACTCAAAATCTATAAAGATAGTTTTATTCTTTTTCCGTCGTTCAGCTGGAGGAATCAAACTGGGGAAGTAGTGTTGCACTTGTCAACTGGTAACGTATCAAGCCCGAGGTTGATTCCCATCAACAAAGGGATGTAGAGAACGTATCACATCAATTGAATTCCACTTAGAAATAATTGGAATTTATGCTCATTCAGAACTTGAATAAGTATATGACTTCCCAACATTCATTATAAATTTGTAATTAAAGCAAGCAAAACCCAGAGTGTCATATCTTATTATCCACAATTAAATAATCAAAGACCAAATCATGCAAACAAATTTGCATTGTTGAATTTTAATGTCGAAAGAGAGAGATTTTCAATTTACAACAATTTTTCTCGATTTTTAGATAAAACCATAACTAATACAAGATTTAAAAAAGACATTACCTGCAAATGTAGCAAGAGATTGTTCAGCTTTCGGCCCCCTCATCTTCTTTGAAGACTTTCTACGCTCTGGTGTCCAGCACAGAAGGCACCTCATTTTCTCCGTCCTCCCAAATCATCCCCTAATCATTCTCTCTCTCTCTCTTCTCT